TATATATATATTACCTTTTGAGAGTTTTCGGCATTTATAGTACCACAGTTTTTAAAAGAAGGGCGGTCAGACATCTCTAAGGACGACATGATTGAATCGAAAAAGCAGTGGCCGACAATAAAGAAGGGAGAGGAGCCTTCCTTTCCTAAAACAATAACATCAAAAGCTTAATTGTGTGTGTGTGTGTGGGGGGTGGGGTTCACTATTGATTTTCATCAAAGAGTTCGCTCGAACTCAACAAACCGCCATTGAACCACTGAATGCGCCGCCTAGGGGCCGGATATTGAAACGCTTGACCTAAATAGGCATAATAAAAACAGATATACTCCAGGTTCAGGTTGAGGACCTACTTACCATAATTCCATGTGATAAACCTAATCAGTGCAGAATGATGTTTTTAAATATTTTATGAGATTCATATATGTAGAAACGAATAGCATTATTTGTGGCTACAAAATCCCAAAGACAGCTCTTCGAACAGGCCTTGTGTGGGTTTACAGTGCTCACGAAATCCCACTCCTAACACCTCTTTACCTCTCCTCAGGGAAATCCAAAGTGACGGAAATGAGTGAGTGTGCTTGCCAATTGGCACGTGGCTACACACACTTTCAATGCCAACCTGATTTGTGAGGAAGCGATTTGTTGTATCTTTAAAGTGGTTGCACGATGTACTGTAAATTTGTCTATTTACATGTTCACATTTTAGGCCTAAAGACCATGGGTTCTGCTATATTAATTCGTTAATGTAGAGCTTAGTCAAATTAACGCCCGCCCGCCTGCGTACACATAATCCACGAGTCGGCCATACACGGTTAATATATCAGAATATAGGCCTAATATTGGAAGCCAATTTCGATACAGTAAGCTGGCCTATTAATTATGGCTTTAGTTTCCCCAACAAAAGAGCGAACAGATATAACCTGCATCTCAAAACCATTTCAAATTTGAAAATAGACAGGTCACATTCCCACAACATAAAAACACAGCCTGAGAATTCATTCGATTCGTTTACATATAATACTATTAGGAAACCTAGGGCCTGCATAGCGATTGTTACGTAAGCACATTACTAAAGCACTCCAACCGCTTTGAATGCTATCCGAAATTACCGGTAATAAAAAAAAATAAAAAGACTTGGAAAGGCGAATACAGTTGTATCTCCAGAAGTCCGGCAGCAGGGACTCCATGGGTGGGGTCCGAAGGAAAAGGTTTTATGGTTTTCAGTGCTAAACTTGTGCAATAGGAAGTATACTATACATATAGGTCTGCAGTAGCTTTGGTTGCATAAAAAATATTTAAAATGACGAGTGGCGTCCGACAAACGTCCGACAGGGGTGGAGGTTCCTCTCTTTACCCCTCCCGCTGAAGGATGAATTTCACTCCCTCTCTCCGCTTCGTCTGACAACATTAACAAAAATCAGAACATAAGGCTATGAACAATAACATTTTAATGAGATGTAATATTATGCAGAAAATTGTAATATGAAGAAAGTTTGTTACACCTGCTAGGGTGTTTACACTCTTACAATTAATCAGCAAAAATATGTGAAAGTAAATAAAAGTCAAAAAGAATACGTCAGTTCTGAGAGAGTTACGTTTAAAGTCGAATTGTTTCGACATTTTCCGTATTGTTTCGACATTTTCCGAATTGTAATGAGGCTTTCCAAGGATTCACTGAAATCATCATTTCATTGTTATCCTTAATAGCCGGAAGCAAGTTAGTCGTATCAATCGAATATTGCTGTACTTGGCTTATCGACAACAGATATTGTTATTAATATCAACCACTACTTTTACCTTGTGTCTACAGTTTATCTATTTGATTGTCCACATTTAAAATGCCATATTTTGACAGCAAATAATGGGGCAGGTACAGCATCAAGATATCAATTCGTGACTTTTACTTAGATGAAGAATATATTATATTCGAGCACTGTCTCTTCCGTTACTGTATTTGAATAGGCCTATGAATTTGATTGATGTTTGTCTGAATTTATTTTTTGTAGCTTTGTATGAGGGCTAACATAAAGCTTTTAGGCTGTCTCTTATACACATCTAGATGTGTATAAGAGACAGATATATATATATATATATATAATATGTCATTATTTCCCGAGTAGCCAGCCCTAAAAGCTTTATGTTAGCCCTCATACAAAGCTACAAAAAATAAATTCAGACAAACATCAATCAAATTCATAGGCCTATTCAAATACAGTAACGGAAGAGACAGTGCTCGAATATAATATATTCTTCATCTAAGTAAAAGTCACGAATTGATATCTTGATGCATAAATGCATACATACATGTGTATATATGATAAAATTATTAATAACATTCCATACTAACTATTGTTATTATTTTGTGGCAGAAATTAGAAAAAGACGAATGAAACGTTAAATCCGACTTAATTCGTAATAAAAATTGCAATTCTACGTCCTTATTTTTGGTAAAAAGAGTTTTAAGAAAAATAAATTGATATCTTAAGACCTGACCATGACCAGATTGTCAGAATGAGACAAGATTAAGCCTAAACCCGTGTCCAATCAGAATCAAAGTTCATCACTTTTCAATCGCCAATAACCTTCACATTTAAGCCGACTGACCACACTCAAAGAAGCGGTCATCGCTTTCATTTTCAAAGAAACCTCCGGCTTCTTAAAGTTTGTTGTGTGCCAGTTATTGTGGATCGGAGTGTTATTCTCAGAAGTGCGGAAGGATTTGTAACAGAAGCATAAATTCTTACAAAATAGACGTACTGTATTACGTTATAATCCACTTACGGTTTTATGAAACGGAGCATAATTATTTTAAAAACAAAAAAAAATATTGTTAGAAGAGTGCGGGACATGGTTGCTCCGACTAGACTTTTAACACACTCTAAAGTCAACAGTAGTTACGCCTAACATATCTGTGTCATGAAACACCCAACAAGTATCAACCAAGCAGGGCATAAAGTATTCATAAACGGTCTGGTGAAAAGTGCTATTCAGTTGAAAGTACAGAAGAGAAAGGTTTGTATAATCATTTCTCTATGGTATAATATTGTTTTCATTTCAATATTTTTGTCAAAGTTGCACTTACTAATGCCAATTACGTTCATGGTTGATTATCATGTTTTTAAATTGTTATTTCCGTATTCCATGAGCACTTGGCAAAGATTCTGGGTTTTTTTTTCCTGACATCTTGATAGGAAGAAGTTTCGATTGAATTGACAAGCTTTTCGATTTTGGTATTATTAGACTTTTTGTCTCACAAATACCGTCGTTGGTCGGGAATGAATATTATTTCTAATGAACTTTCTGTTGTCGTTCCTTAATGCATTATGCTGTACCGTTAAAAACGATCAGATGATTCCATAATCATCACCATTATTTAGATTGAATTAGATTTATCTTCGGTAGTATACCGCGGCAGCTTTGTAAATGTATAGAGGTGTTTATCGCCTGTTCTGTTCTCTTCACATATAGGTTTCATTATTTTTTACTGTTTATTGTATCTTACTGTCAGTGGAAGATGAAAAATAACAAATAAGCCTCAATGCTGTACTAAAATCCCGATCAGAAACATATACGGTATCTGATGATGGCCTATGCCTATAGAGAGTGCCAGTAGAATTAATAAGGCACATTATATAGCCGTTAACACTGTTAATTATATATAAATCGTCAACGAAAGGTAAATACCTGTCTCTTATACACATCTAGATGTGTATAAGAGACAGATATAATGCAAAACAATTTAAAATTAAAATTAAAATGGAACAGTAGAGAAAATCCGATCAGAATGACAAAATAAACTAAGCATCC